ATTTCTAATTCCTTAAATATTCTATTTATTATATAGGCTATAACTACTAGTTTTATAAATCTGCTAATCTATCTAATTATATTTAATATAATAGTATTTCCTATTTATAAAATAATAAAATAGGAAATATTATTCTTAATTTATTAGTTTTGAAATATAATAGTTAGATTTAGTATTTTTAAAATATTAATAAGTATTCTTATTTTTTTCTAAATTCTTAGAAGTAAAATAATTACTTTTTAAGTTAAGATAATAGTATTTTAATTCCTAGATCCGGAATAGTTATATTACTATTTTAAAAGACTTAAAATATAAAAACTAAGTAAGTATTAGCTAAAATAAGTAAGTATTATTAATAATAGCCAAATATAGAAGAGTAGCTAAATATATAAAGCCTTATTCTTATTACTATAACGATTATCTAGATAATTCTATTCTTTTCTAATTTCCTTTTATTATATAAATAAAGTAGGCCTTATATAATTATTTATTACTATCTAATTCTAAGTAAATAGTAGATCTCAGATTATAAAGCTTAATTATCTTCTATTACTCTTTTCTTTTATTAGTATCCTTTATTATTCTTCTAGAATTAAATAAAAGCCATAAATATAATAGTTAATATTATTTAATAATAGTTATATAATTCTATAGTAGCTCTTAATAAATACCTTAACTAGTATAATAAGTCTATTATATGAGAGTAAAAAAAAAGATTTACTTTAAAGAAATATATAACTCTTTATTTAAAGCTTAATATAATATATTTTCTATAATAGAATAATATAAATATTACTAAAGAGAATATTAATAGTATTATAAACAAATTCTAATAATATATTATACTAGTAGGAACTAAAAAAAACCTTAAATAGAACTAATATATTATAGGTATTATATTTATATATATTTAGGAAAATAGAAAAAATAGTATAGAAATATAATAAAGAAATTATAATTTTATTTCTTTGCTTTATTTATAAAAACTATTAGATAATAGAAATAAAATTATTTTACTAGTACTAAAAGCAGTTTTAGTTATTCTATAAACTTAATAGTCTAGTAAATTATAAAAGTGAGACTTATAATAACCGGAACTACTATTAATTAGTAATTTCCATAGCGGGCTAGCTATTTCATATATATATATTAGTTAGAGAGCTTTTAGAAGTGCTATATAATACTATTCTAGTTTATAAATTATTTCTTCTTTTCTATTTATTTAATTAGTTATACTATTTTTGTAACGTGTGAGAATTAGGCTCGCACCACAGTTCACTGGACCAAAAGACCATAGTATTTACTATACGGTAAATACGCCTAATTACGGTTAAATGGCTAGATTATAGTCACGTAATAGCCATACGTAATAACTATTCCCCCCTCGCCAAGCAATATCCCGGAGCACCGGGGAAACGCTCCAAGCAAAGCGAACCACTTATATCTTAAGCCCCAAAGGAATCCCTAAAAATCGCGATTTCGCGAATCTCAATTACGTATAATTAATTAAAGGGTCCTTTTTAGCCCTATAGAGGGTCTCTAACGCCCCTAAAGCCATCTCCAAGACTGGGAAAACCCTAAACCAATCTTGTGGGCAGAAGTGCATACGTACTCAACCACTTAGTGGACCGGGGCGGTAAATACTCTATAACGTGTGAGAATTAGGCTCGCACCATAGTTCACTAGACCAAAAGACCATAGTATTCACCGCACGGTGAATACGCCTAATTACGGTTAAATGGCTAGATCGTAGTCACGTGACAGCCACACGTGACAATTTTCTTATCTTGGAATCTAATACTTTGTCTTAAAAAAAATATACTTTTTATCTAGGTAATGAATTCTTATATCTTATAAGCGTTTTAACTTAATTATAATAAACTTCTCTATATTTATAAGAAAAATCCAGATATTAAAAGAAGAATACCTAGTAGAATACTATATTCTAATATAATATATTAGTATAAGAGAAATAAGGCTTATAATAAGTATAAATAATTATATTAGGCTATAGAGAAATATTATTTATTAGAAGCAAGATTCAAGTATAAGACTAAATAGATCTATTAGGGATTATTTAGTAATAAATCGAATTAGTCTTATTTTTCTAAAAAGTTATTTATTATTCTATAATTTCGGGAAATTATTTTTTCTCTATTTATTTCTAAACCCGTTTTCTCTAATCGACTCCCGAATTTTATACTATATTACGAGTTGGGTTAATTTTATAAAATAAAGCCTTGAAATAGAGATATAAGATTATATTTCTATTTCTATATCTGTTATACTTTATATTTGATTTAATTATAAAATATTATATTCAAATAATTAGTAGGCTTTCTTTCTTTTATTTTCCTATAATACTCGTCTTTTTTAGTACTATTCTATCTTCGAAAAAAACCTTTAAGACTTTTATATTTCACTTTTTCGGAAATCGAAAATATTAATATTATATTTATACTTGAATTTGCAAACGAGAATTTATTATAGATCTTCTCTAGAAATTATTTTAGAAGTATAATAGATTAATATTATATTATACTTTTTTATTAAAGGCTATATTAAGCTATTCTTACTTCCCTCTATTATAAATTAGTATTACTTCCCGGTACTAGAATACCTATTACTAAAATACTTACTAGATAATAGCAAATAACTCGATTACTTTATTAATATTTATAATAGGCAGGTTAGGTGAAATTGGTATATTTTGTCTGGTTTTATAATAATGAAAATTAGTAAAAACGAAATTAGAACTTTTAATAACCTTTTCTAGTCTATGAAATCTAAGTTTATAGGAAGAAATTAAGAAGTTAATTTTAAAGAGCTAGCGAGACGGTCTCATATCCCTATATAAAAGCCTTTAATAACAGAAACCTCTTCTATAAATATTTATTCTACTTTGGCTTTTTTTTCTTTTAAATATTTCTTATAATCCTTTATTATCTAGTAAATCTAGTACCGGAAACCATTCTTCTAATCTGACTAATCTGCCGAGTTCTATTATAAATAATACTTCTAGCTAGGAGCATATTAGTATAATACGAGATTATTAGAAAGAAGGCCCAAATACATAATAGAGAATAATCTCTTAAGGAAATATTAGGACCAGATACTAGATAAACTAAAGTGGAATCTGGTATGAGATATATCTCTAATAGATAAAAAGTAAGATTCGTATTTAATGCTTCTTAGCTTATTTAATTTGTCCTGAAATATTTTTACTTGTTATCCGGATAATTAATAAAGATCTCATTCAAATATAAACAGATTTGAGAGATATAGAATTAATTAGCTTTAGACTTCAGGAATTATTAAAAATACTAGGTAATATCTATCTTAACTTTAAAGATTAATCTTTTATAATTAATCTGAATTTTCCCTTAGGAAAGATCCTTTACTAAGCCTAATATACTATAGATCTGGTTATAAGAATTATAATATATTAAGCTTTTAATAGTTTCCAGAAAATTAGTAAGATTTCTTTTAATCTTATTATAATGCCTTTCTATAATCCTTATTCCAGTACGATTCTTAACTCTTTTAATAAATTAATTAATATGGGCGGGGAAATTATTATATTACTCTTATTTAAATTCTAGTATCTTAACTAATACCTTCTCTAAATTACTACTATCTATACTATTTAAGCTATAATAGATTATAATATTCTTAGTAAGCAAGTACTTCTAAATAATCCAAATTCTGGTTTAGTAAGTCTTTTCTATAAGTTCTGCAAAGCCCTCCTAAGTAGATTATAGGGTTATTAATAAGCTCTCCCAAACCTCGTCCTATAGATCCTAGTTATACTATTCTTCTTGTTCTGGCTTTAAGTCCAGTTACCCAAACTCTAATAATATATCCAAAACAAGGCCATGACTTGGAAGATTATTTTCTTAATTAGAGCCTAACTTTATTAGGCCATAATATTTAACTGTGGTTAAAGATACGACTAGCTTTACTAGGAGGTCGAAAATTGCCTCGGCTATATAGTAAACGGAACCTATCCAAACCAGAACCTTATTGGCACTCTAATAGATATCTCTTATTATTCTAACCTAATAGTTTTATTTGGCTATATTATCTTGATTAATGCAAATAGCGTTAATTCACAGAATCCTTGGGTTGTAATTATCTCTTAAAGGGACTGGTCTAAGGTATTTCAAGGCATAGAAAAGATTCTCCCGGACCTCGAAAGGTCGGCCATTAACCATAATCTCGTATCTTGGCTTATTAGGATCTCCCTACTCATAAGATAAGGCTTCGAATCTCGGTTATGGTATAAAAACATTTGGTAGTAATCCTTTTGGTATTTTGAAAATACGCAGTATGCCTCTAATCCGGGTAACTTCGAGATCGGGCTCGAGGAGAAAATAACGGAACTGTCTAGATCCAGGCTCGAGAGCTTTATATATATTGAGCGGCGATAAGCTGGATGCTCGATAGATATTGTGATGAAAAGTTCGAGTTGTTAAGGAGAGCCTCGTCTTATGGATTTGGCATGTTGGCCCTCTGGCTATGCTGAGCTGGCGTAAACAATGCAGCATCTTTCAATTCGCTGCCCTGCGATGAGCGACGTCAGCAGTAATTAGGGCCCGGATACTCTAATTGGCTCCCCAAAGGCGTGGCGTGATTAAAAGCGAGATTAGTTGGGCTAAGTTACTCCGGTTAGTGCCTTGAGTGCCTCACCAAAAGGTCGCCATTTAATTAAGGGCCACCTCTTCTTACTTGAGCATTGGGGGCCGGTGGGAGGTGAAAAATCGATGACTAATCTTAATCCTGTGTTGTGATTGGCTCTAAAATATGTACCCTTGCCCGTTATGTGATCTCGAGGTTTAATTACTCTCGTCTGTGGCTAGTAATTGTAGCTAGAGGAACACGAAAGCTAGAGGGGGGGGGGTCCAAGGGGTCTCCCCCTGGGATTCTATAAGAGAACGTAGCAAATATATATAGAGAGGAAACGTTTACCCGATTACCTAACCTTAAAGGTGGCTCTAACGTCAGCGCAGTCCTACTGCTCGGGCCCCTACGTAAAGTAAGGAGCCAAGACTCGAATCGCGATACAGCCTCACATAATTTCCCCATTTGTACTCCTCATTCGCCGCGGCTATCGTTATGTCGACTGCGTTCCCATCGTATTTGTTATCAACGTTCACAAACGATCTGACGTGTATGTTCCATGAATGCTCAACCTCAGCCTTTACTTTCCCCAAGAGATTAAAGAAGCTCTCCGCATCGGCGGCGGCTTTAAACCGAAAATTCACAACGACACCATCAGGTCGAAGTTTCCAAGTCCCTCTCTGTGGGCTTGCAGAATCAACGTGTACCGTCCATCCCTCACGACCTTCCACTTTGGCAAAGGTAAAGTCGACAAATAGCGTTCCTGACGAGTACGTTCTCAGACAAGTGGGATAATCCGGCTGCGTTAACTTGCTGAGATTGGCACGCTCCCTCTCATATTGTCTGAGGGTCTGTTTAAATGCCTCCGGAATATCGAATATTTGGATGCATGCAATCCTGCCTTCTCGGATGACCAGTCCCAGCTCGCAATCTTGAATCAAGAGTCTCGGTAAATTCTTCGAGGAAACCGGCTCGCCATCAAAGCTCACAGCCGCCACTTTCCAACGCTTTGCAGCGATGGTGGAATGCAGATCTTTCTGAAACAGTCGAAAGGTAGGAAGATCTTTCCGGTCAGCAACTTTCCCGCTTACGGTACTGCCGGCATCCTGGATTTTCGAAGTCTGAGTCGCAGCTGTTCGGGTCGTCACTGGCACGTTGTAGGAGATATTGACATCTGGATGCTCGAAGTTCGGATGGCCCTCCTTCATGACCTCAAGGATCTCCTTGGCAAACTTTCGATTCTCCCGCAGCTGAAGAATATTCTGATGTAGCTTCTCCATGATCTCGGCTACATTATCAAGCTGTTCACTGTAGCCCGGTTCCGGTCAGATAAAGCGTTAGTTCATTCCGAGATTCCAGCCTCACCTGCTGAGACTCTGCAACATCAAATTAATGCTCGCTTTATATCTCTCCAACGCCACTCTCAACTCCAAAACATCTTCTTTCTTCCACTGCCACTTAACACACTTAGTCACCTGTCCCTTGATTGAATAGTCCTTGGTCTTGATCTTAGACTTTACAACCAGCGCCTCGATTTTTCCAAGTGTGTCCCGGCACCCATTAAACACAACCTTCGATTCATCGACCCATTTCCGCAAGAGCTCTTGATGACTTTCTTGTCGACTCTCAATCAGGTCTTTGAGTCGTGTAAGAACAAAGTTGAAGATGCTAAGCTCAGTGGTTAGGTCTTCGATGTGGCGAGGTATTGGTAGAGGCTGAGAAGGACCTTTGTGCAGGTCAGACAGAGCGCAGGGATTGATACAGGATCCATTTCGAGGGTGAAAGTAGCACGATGACGAGGGGGTCATGAAGGGGAGGTGCTGCCTTGTTAATAAATGTACTGCGTTCGTACGTATGGCTGAGAGTTGGTGGTGGCTATGCAGTGCAGCTCACCTCTCTTCGACGCCGACCTCAACCCTCAAGACGGTGCGAGGTCAACTTGGACCCATGCTTCCATTCCGCAACGGCTTCGTTTCTCTAAACAACATAATTGGAACGCTTGACCACAACTGAACAAAACATCCACCTCGCTTGCAGAGCGACCCCGACAACATCCCCTCCACCTTGCCACTGGATCTGATTTATAGATACTCTATGTACTCCTTATTTGACCGCTCCCGTTAGCTCATCTTGACTCTCTTCGCTGGCGAAATGTAATTTTGAACACTCTAATGTGGCAAGGCCGAAAGGTAGAATATTGATTCTAACCACCTATGATTGGCCATCGAAGCCCTAATGCGAGGTTGCGTGGAGGCGCAGGCATCGGGCTGAACTGAACTCCCCACCTCGAAGCAACATCATCTTATAAACATCCCCAGAATTGCTTGGCATTCTCAAGTACAATACCAACAAATACGGAAAGATGTTCAAGTACCGGAAGCTCGACCCCACGATCAGCGAGATCAGGCTCCTGCAGGTCCTCCCCGCCTCACAGGTCTCCGACCTCATAGCATGCCAGGTTCTCTACTGCTCACTCTCTCGCGCCCCTTCATATCACGCGCTCTCATATACCTGGGGGACGCCGACAGAAAAGAAGGAGAAGATTACTCTTGACGGGGCGTCCTTTGCCGTGCAGCCGAACCTCTCGTCCGCGCTGCGCCAGTTCCGCAGCACTTGGGGCTCGGCGCTTATCTGGGCGGACGCTGCGTGTATCAGTCAGGAGGATAATGAGGAGCGCTCACAGCAGGTGATGATGATGGGGATTATCTATTCGAACGCGATCGGTACTGAGGTTTGGTTGGGTGAGGCGGCTGATGAGAGTGATCTGGCGATGGACACGGCTGAGCATTGGCATGAGCTGTCTGGAGGAAGAGGGGAGCTCACGCCTGCGCTTAAGGAATGGCTTGGGAAACCGGAGGTCGCGTGGGAAGCAATGACAGCGTTGTGGAGACGGCCGTGGTGAGGATGTTTCCCGCCCTTTGCCCTGCTCTCAGGCCTCTGGGAGTGCGGATTGTTCATAAGATGGATGCTGACGAGGACATGCGTAGGTGGAGGAGAGTCTGGGTGGTGCAAGAAGTATTCCAGAAGAAGACCACCGTCGCCTGCGGAGCAAAGAGACTCGACTTCCGCGCCTTCACTAATCTTTGGAAAAGCTTCGCTCAGTTGGACATGTACACAGTTGACGAGATATTTCCGGACGATTCGATATCCCTGCCGGTCCGACTGCTATGGTCGCGGGCCCTTGGTGCTTCGGTGGGGAACTTCAACGCGGTTCAGGAGAACGCGGAGATTGAAATCAGACCGCCACTACTCATGAAAATGATCTCTTATCGCGAGTGCGAAGCCACGGACCCCCGAGACAAGATATATGGTGTTCTAGGGCTACCTGCACATCGCGGGCACGAAGATCTTATTGCATTTACCCCCAATTACGATCTCAGTGCGCAAGACCTGTATAAAGAATTCGCCCGGTACTTTATATCAAAGGGGTGGGTCCTCGATGTCCTGGAAAACTGTCGACAATCGAGTCAGACGCAGGTCCCAGGACTAGCGTCCTGGGCTCCAGATTGGAGCGTTAACAAATATACAGCTCCTATCACATGGTTCGATTCGCAGCTCGCGCGAAAAGACAAGTTCAGCGCAGCCGGAGATCTTCAACTTTCTTTCTCATTCTCCTCCAACGGTGATGGATTGGCATTCGAAGGGACACTTGTTAGTCGAATCAAAGGCACTACTTCTATCATGGGACCTGAGGGGTACGGTTGGAGTGAGCACCTTACAGTTGTGCTAGAAGGCCTCCTACTTGTCACGGGGCAGGATATATCTGACTGGCCATACCCTGGCGACCGTGCTCGGAGTATGCATGCATTTGATGAGGAAGGGCCCCGCTTTGAGTTAGAGGAGCCATACATCTGCGGCGGCACTAAGAAGCGGGCCTTCGACGGTGTTACAGTTGCCAGGACCAAGGGAAATCCAAGAAATGAGATTTCACCATCGACGACTCCAATCTTCCGTCAAGCGCAGACTCCAGTAGATATACCGAGTAAGGTTGCCCGATCTTTTACGCTCTTGGTCGGCAGAAGGTATAGTGTATCCTCCGATGGATATGTTGGAGCTGTCCCTGGGGATACGAGGGAGAATGACTGGATATGTGTCTTTTTTGGGATGCCGGTTCCGTTCATCGTTCGCGAGCAGGAGAATGGCTTCACTTTTATTGGGGATTGCTATATATCAGGGCTGATGCAAGGAGAGGTAGTCAAGAGAATAGAAGAGGGGACTTTGGAAGTAAGCATGATAACTTTGATTTGAGCAGTCGAAGCACGGCTAGCTCAGTGATTCATCAGAACAGCTCACATAAGCTGAAGTTAAACTTAGAGGCTGTCTGGTTCGCCGGGGTGAGTTCTAATACACCACCAAGATTCCGTATATTCGCATTTGCAATTTCAGTAAATACACACCGAATCAAAATCCCATTAGCTGAAAAAAATCAATACACAGTCAACGATCCTCGCAATTCTGAAAATGATTAATATATATACCGCACGGAGACCGTATATAAGGCAATTATACTCTAGCTTGCACTCACAACTGCCACCCTCGAGTTCTAAACCCAAAGCGCTACTCCGAAACACGCTCCGAAACACGCTCCGAACCACCAGATACCAGCCAACTTGCGTACAGGTCAATATATAGAAAGGTAAAGTCTCAGACCTGAAGTCATGAAAGTTTGCGTAAACAATATGAAATAAATCTGCAAATCAAGAGACGAATGCACGTGATGAAGCCTACTAAGTTAATCTGATATGATCGCAAGAGCAAATGCAGCAGTGCAGGCGGAGCGGAATGCTACACCTCCCAACGACCCTTATCTAGGCTGAAACGTTCTGCTGTTCTGCTGTGGTATAAAGGGCATTGTGCCACTTGTATCACGTGAGAGCCGCTGGATGTGTGACACTTGAAACAATTCTCCTGATACGATACTCGAAAACAAATGTCAATAATAATAAACAAGATCAACCTTCCATCTGAGACTCGATCGTAATACGAGTCAGAGTGGCAAATCCCCTTCTGAGATACACGTCCATAGCTACAGGCCCAATGTCTCGGGCCTCATCTACTGCGTTGTCGATATAACTATACCGCTATAATAGGGCATTAAGTCGGAGTAACAATGCACTGGCATCCCCTTCTCCTGCCCAAAAGACGTCAATATGCAAGTACAGCACGCACATGACTCCCAACGCAACCTTGAAACCCAATCCAACCCCCCTCGGCGGCAAAATCTGAAGTGGCTCAAGTGGCCACAGCAGCGAGAAGAGCCTGCTGCAGTGGGCCAGGGCCGAGTCAGCCCGAGGTAGACAACGGCGGTGGGGGGGCGCCCGGCTGCATGAACCACAGCTACCCCTAATTGGGACACGTTGGACGCCGTGGTGGTTGGTGGTGGTTGGGTGGTTTGGGGGTGGAGGGGACATTTTTGATTGTTTTGCAGCGCGCTTGGATGAATATAGATAGACGTGACGGGCGTAGCAGGCTTGACAGGCCCTGGTAACGCGGAAGAACTGGCGGGCCGAACCTCGCTGCTCTCCCCGCAACAGGCTGGCGTTGGCTGCTTGGCTGTGGTTGGCTGTGGTTGGCTCGTTTGGCTGTGTCTTTGCTGCTCACCGACTGCCTGCACGGCGTGTGTTTAGGTAAAGCTAGTGAGGTAACGTCAATAAGCACTGCACTGCTCTGTTCTGCTCCGCTCATTTCTCTTCTTCCCCCCCCCCCCCCCACAACCATCCTCCAGGAAAATATCAAAAAGCCTCCCCCATCCTGACGGATGTCGTCGTTTTTCAAATACATCCAGAACCTCCCAGCATCGTTGTTTAGAGCTATGTCCCCCTCTCTCTAGTAGCGTCTCCGAGGGCGCAGTAGTACTCCCAAGACCATAGCACCTACTACTAAAGAAGAGTAGGCGAAAGACAAAGAGGCGGTCCAGAAGGCCATTATAGAAGCTGTCTCTACTGCTCTAACCGGCGATGGCTTCACTAAAGCTATAGCTAGCTATCTAGCTACATAGTTCCAGCCGTCTCTAAAAGCTGCTCTAGATATCTTTATCGTCGAAACTAAGCTCCTCGAATTAAACGCCGAACTGTCTAAACAAATCGACGAATCAAACTCGTAAACGAATACAAAGCTCTCCGATCTCTCTACTCTCCTCGATATAAATAACTCTATAACTATTAACAAGATTACCGTTATCGAAGCTACTATAATACACATCACGGAATCGTTAATAAAGCTAGGATATATTATTAAGGCACTCCAAGAATCTGTTATATGTCTAGATATATCTCTATTAATATCTTATAGCGAGAAGCTAGATATAATTTCTACTAGTCTCACGACACTACGTAAATAAGGACTAGTACCCATTTCCGCTTCTTTATCTTCCTAAGCTACGAAACTCGATATTATCACTGCCGAACTCGCTATTATTAAGTAAAATGCCGAGTCGGCGGCAGTACTAAAAGCAGATATTAAATCCCTTAAGACAGACCTCAAAACAAGTTTAAACACAGGACTCTCTAGTCTAGGTAAACAAATCGGCACTATTCTATCGGTAATCGAGGTACAAGACGTAACTTTGGCTAAGATCAAGGCTGAGGATATTGTAGTAAGGGTATTGACAAGTGTAAAGACATTAAACGACTCCCATGCTACCTACGTAGTAGCTCTAGCCGAACTGAAATCCTCGTATAATGTATACGCCGCTTCTCTAGCCGAATTAAAGACGGTAAACATTAGTCCTGAAATTCTGGAAGGTGTTAAGGCTTTAAACGAAGCTCATGTCAGCTACGCTAAGGCTTTGGCCGATCTCCAGTTTGTAAGCATCTAACTCGCTATCCTCGCTGCTATTCAAAGTTTTAATGAAACCCTCGCCTCGAACTTAGCTATACTCCAAGAGCTGGCCGCTAAGCCTGCTCCTCCAGCACTTGAGAAAGTCGACCTGTCACTACTATTTACCAAACTCGATAAATATACTACTTACCTAACCGAGATCAAGTCCGCAGTTACTATACTAGCTCCAGCTCCCGAAAAGGTTAATCTGTCTCCCTTGTCTACAAAGCTCGAGGAACACTCTACCTACTTAATAGATATTAAATCTGCCGTTAATACCCCGACCCTAGTTCCCGAGAAAGTAGATTTGAGTACCCTCGAGACCTTAGTTAAGTAAGTCCACTCCCTCCTCGAAGTATAATCCACTACCCTCTCTAAAATCAAAGACAACGCTATTAGTAACACTGCGGAGCTAAAGATCCTTTCTATAGTCGAGGCGCTCGGGAAGGAGGATATGGAGATTCTGGGCGAGGTGAAGAGTATCAAGACTCTGATTAAAGAGGATAAGAAGGATTAGAGTACGGAGATCTTAGTCGAGGTGAAGGAAGTCAAGGCTTTAGTATAGAAGGCTACTAGTGTCAAGGTTGAAGAGGTGGCCGAGAATGATAAGGGTGTTCTTATTGAGCCTGTGGCTAAGAATAGGGTCAAGGTTGAAGAGAGCGAGGTCGTTGAAGCATGAGTAGTTAGAGATAGGCTGATCTGTGTTTCATAGAGTGGAGGTGAGGCTACCTGTAGAGGAGAAAGTAGGAGGGCAGTGGAGGAAACGGTGAGGCCTTGTGTAATGCGATATTTTGTTTTCCCAGCGATGCGGTGCGCTTTATACCCTTTGATTCGATAAATTGACGGCTGTTTTGCGCTGATGTTTACTTCTTTAGTTAGTAGCAGAAAAGAATATCGATGGTTTTCCCCTCTTTCATAATCTTGTATGTGGTTTGAAGTTGCGATGAGAATCCCCAGCCTTGCAACACGCAAGACTGATCAAAACGGTCACTTGTGCCCCATAGAGGCAGAGGAACACAGTAGAGTTTGCACAAAGCTGCTCAGACAAGGCAGATTTTTCCAAGCTTGGCTGGATTATTAAATAGCAACGAAAGGCTAACAGTGGCTTTACAGGGGAATTCCCGACAAAAACGTGACTTGGTACGAGCTACCCTTGTGCTGTGCAGCTTCCCCCTATTGATCCTACCAAGCCACCAACCTTTATCGTCTTCATCTCGACCAATTATCTTAGACGAATGTCGTCCATTGCATGCTCTCAATTCTCCAAGTGGAAGAAGCAGCCTTCTCCGAAAGCGCCTCGCCCTGCCCCGCACCTATACGAAGCCCAGGGTCTATTTTCTGAAATCTTATATATTATCTCTCCGAACATCTCAATTTGGCTAATGTACAACAGACCTCGATTTAAAATCAGGCCAATCAATCCCAGATAGGTACGGTTTGACATTGCTATGCAGTTCAAGGCTCGAGCTACATAGGCTCAGGCCTTGTTCGCCGTCGCCAGCCTTACGACATCACGACATGAGACGAGCTCAAATAGCTTAACGCCTTGTGGAAACAGCAAGACGGTCGAACTTCCAATTCAAATTGATATATAATCGCCCTATACATAGCTCTTTAATATAAACACCTGCTAATCTTGTGCGCTAGCTCAACTTCGGCGAAGTATAGAACGTTAACTACACTGTCGGCACTCTACCTCAGAAAATTACTTTGCAAGTAACTATCAGCGGAGGCGATCTTATGGTAAGCAATACGACGGAAACATGGACTGGCGGGTTCGCATCTTGGTCTTATAATACACTATGTGAGTAACTCCAGAGCTGCCTCCTATAGATACTTCGGAACAGCACTGATTTATCTACTCCAAAGACGATAGCTCGCTCTCCAGCTCTTTCCGCCCCCAGATTGCCACCGTAATCGTCCCACTCGATCCTATAGAAGTAATCTTTTATTCAGCTTCTGAATACTTAGCGACCTTCGCCTCCAACAACTTTAATATCGCTAGCCTTTCTCTACCGAGCCTGCTGTTCGTCTCCTCGGCTTTCTGGGGCAACGAGGCTATAGACTATACCTAGCCAGTATAATGAGTGTTATATTAACTCGGTATTGGTCTACCCGCCTCTAATTCCTCGATATATATTAATCCCGATAACAACGGAACTCTATACCCGATATTCCCACAGGTTCTCGTCAACAAGGGATTGATCCAAAGCGAAATATTCAGTCTATAGAGTGACTCCCTTACTAAGAACACAGGGCACGTCTTATTCGGCGGTATTAACACAGTACGCATCCAAGGACCACTAATCGACCTCTCAACAACTACAAGAAACGTCCAGAACATCGAGCTCGCCCCTCAAGACCCACAGCTCCTGATAACCTTCACCGCCCTCTCACTCAACAGCAGCACATCCCAACACAGCATCACGATCCCATCAAACGTCTCCCAATAAGCCGCACTCAGCATCTACGGCTATTCCTACCTCTCCCCCACCCTCGCAATGTCAATCTGGGACGCCATGGGAATACCCTACAACGCAACCCTCGCCCAAAGCTCGCAATAATACCTCCCTGTAATCCCATGTTCCTACCTCAGCAACACCACCCTCCTCTCCCTAACCTTCGTAACCAAAACCAACCCCCTAATCACAATATCCATCCCACTCTCAACCCTAACCTCCCACAACGGCACCGGCCCCCGAGGTTATAGATAATATAGCGGGTTTATGAGATTGAGGAAGCCTTCGACAAACGCTTATCAAGTTATTAAGCTCATAATATCGAGGAAACCTTCTACAAAAGCACATTAAGCTATCGGGCTCCGTCACGGCCCTGGGTTTCTACAGATGCTATAATAGCTGTCTCTTCGACTATAACTAAAAAAACCTACAAAGCCTTAGTAAAGGTCGTCGAGGCTAATACTACTTTCTTAAATAACTAATTTGGGGAAGTCACCGGTGACTATATACATTTACGTTATCCGCCTCTATTTCAAGGTACACTAGATATTGATAACAAGTCGGGGAGTCTACGATTTCCCGAACGAGTACGGTCTTCTATCTACCTAGATCGGGAATTCTCCAAAACTAAAGCCGACAAGGTTTTCATACCGATTCTAAAAGAATTTACAGGTCATGATTATATACAGTTCTGGGGCTTTGTTTGAAAGGCTACAGGCCAGGATTAGTATCGTAAAGTTGGAGCATTTCTGTCTACTAACTTTAAAAAAGACTCGATACTAGACAGCGGAAATGAAGGTAAACAAGTTATTATAATTATATAAATTCATTTCTATTCGGTTTGTTTTTGTCTTTTGAATGAACATATGGCGAGTCCTTTGTGTGTATCCAGATATCCAAGTCCAAATGCCAGTATGAAATGGGTAGAGACGAAAAGTTACGAAAGTGGTGGAATCACGACTGACAAAATGATAATTACCCCGCCCAACAACAACTCCTCACCGTTCAACCTCTTAATCATACTCCCAAGCATCTCCGCAACTTTTCTCTACTCCATCACCTCTCACACAACCCGCTCATGGTCTTTAAGAGCCGACATCGACGGCCCGTGAACAACTAACTAGTAGTCAAGAAGTCTACTATTTTACACATCAATAAAACTCCAGGTATTCGTTTCTAATAGGGTTAGCTCACGTATAAGGGTCGGGATCGGAAATATGAGAGAGGTTTTGGGAGGGATACTTCGATTTTGCTTATTGTTGTATTGGAGTAGGTCAACGTGAACGAGGTGTGCTGGATCTATAATATTTGGAAGCGCGATCTCGAGACCAAGAGCTATGGGCGATGGCAGAGTTTGACAGGTAAGCAGAAAGGAGGCTTCCAGTCTCTGAGTTCCTTGCTGTCTAAGTGAGATGGAGAAATTAATGGCCCCGGCATGAGCCGAGCTGTAGGACGTATCTGGTTCGGGTGGAACCCAGAAAACATGAAGGATGACATCGCACACTATTCTTTAACATAATGTATTAATAGCGAAATTGCTTTCGCAGTTTGGAATGCGAGTTGATTCTGCCATTGGCTCAAGGAAGCCTCTCTCCCATTTGCTGGCCAGCGCCACCTTCACACACTTTCGTGGCACCCCACAATACCGTATCTTCCATCGGTTTCCAGCTTCCTTCAACTGCAAACCAAGCCATATACCACAGCTGAGAAAGCGCCATCTTGTCAAAATGTCATCTCAAGCCCCAGAAGCTGTTCCATTGATAGAGGCAGCCAGCCAGACTCCGCTCACGGCCGAAGCTGCGGGCGTCTTAGTCGCCGAGGCTGTTGGAGAGGGAGAAGCACAGTCTGCCGCCAAAGATCAAGAGCGGACTGAGCAGCTTGGTGAGGAGGGTAATGAGGCCAAGTCGGTGCGCCGACCATTAGTTGGGCCAGAGCCTGGTGCAAGCCAACCACCCGACGAGATCCCTGGAAAGAACACCGCAACGACCGAGAAGCTGCGCACTATCGTTAAGTTGCTTGCGGAGGTCCTCAGAGATCCCAGTTTCAAGGATGGTTTGGTGCCTGACGTTGAATCTGGTGCCTCGGAAAGCGATACCCACTTAAGATCTAAGGAGAAGGAGATCGGATATATATGGAGCAAAGTGAAGCCATTCAATACTCTGCTGCGCGTCCCCGAGAATCCAAACATGCGCAGCCGCTTTCAGGAGCTCTTCTCGCGTGAGGGCTATATAGATAGGCTATACACCCTTACTTTCAAAGGATCTTCTAGCATGGAAGAGAACCTTAGGAACGGGGAGTAACTCCATGTTCGAGAAGGACTGGCGAAAGAATACGCATGCATGTTATCCTGGCGTTTCAAGAAACTTGAGGGAAAGCCTGAGCGTGGAATCCTGTTCGGCCTCCCTTCTCCGGGTTCAACAGTTAACTTTAAAGTTCTGGCATGTTGTTGTTTAGCAGTGGGAGGCAGCGAAACAAGGATCGGAGACATTTTGAGTGATTGCTATCGTTGTGGTGTCCTGGAACAACCCACCAGTGCTGGGGATATCGAAAGTACAGCATTCAAATTCTTATCGTTTTTCAAGCTTTGTTCATTCTGAATTTCGTGAGGCCTTTGGGCAACCCAGAAGGTGCGAATTTGCGGCCTGGTGATATGGCCTCCAGCGCCAGGCAGTACAGGCAATGGATCAATACGATAGACTATTTTTGGCTTATCAAGGATAGTGATCCGAGTTATCTTGCTAAACTTCTTGGACTGAGTGTCCGAGACTTTTCAACATCGGGGAGCTTCAGGTATCGACCAAAGTTAAGGAAACAGACATTGAATGTGCTTCTGGTGTGTCATTCAGACTAGATGATCTCAATCTATATGCTCTTTAGAAGATTGAAAAACTTTCAATTCGATGGACTACATTTATTGAGAATCACCTCAAACTGGACATAGAGAAGTCAACGCTGTGGGTCCTTTGGGTAACCTCCGAAGATATATACATACCACTATATAATTTCCAGGAACGGTAGGTTTTCTACCTTGCTGTGGATCAGCAAATCATGACCCAGACTAATAAATCACATGCAGGTGCTTGCAACGGTTCTCTGAGTCTACCCCTGAACTGATTCAGAGAAATATTTCACTTTATAAATTCCAACAGGAGATTGCAGCGACATGGGCAATACTTTTCACTACCGGAGGTAACCTCAGGGAGAGAGCGACAGAATACAGGCGAATCAAAGACCCACCTTGGGCTTCACCTGAATCCTTAAGATTCCAGAAGCACTACCATCTCCAACATGCCGCCAAGATCCACAAGAAATTCAAGATAATGACTCGAGAGAGGACTCCACTCAGATATGCAGAGTTCCCGATTCTCGAGACACGGCTTAGACAACTTCGTCATTACATGGACTCTAGCCAACCTCGCACACTCCGCCAGCTATGGAACGATAATCGAGACACACTCAGCTATTACACGTTTTGGGGCGTTATTATTTTCGGCGGTTTGAGTGTCTTTCACGCCTTCTTCTCGCTTATGATTGGCATCGCTCAAACTGTTGCAGCCTTCAAGACGCTCGCTGTTACCACCCCTCCAGTACCAAGTCCTTGAGTTCAACTCTACCCCTTGTTCGCCTAGTAAAATCGTCGTAAGCCTTCTTAACATCCTTGATCATTTCCAACGTGTGGGCATCCAGATTTATCTTATCTCCACTTCTTGCCTCCTGAATCAAATCCTCGCGTATTTCCTCCTCCTCCTCCTCCTCCTCCTCGTTCTCGAAATCTTCTCTGGTTTATCGACCATCTCCTGTTCCTTATCAAATGAGAAAGTCAACCGCATTAACAAATATTGCGAAGCTGATAAACGGCTCTATAGAAGATATAGATGTATATGATTTGTGGAGGCCATGGTTTGCCTTGGGTTAACGAAGTAGGAAGACAGTAAAAATTATTTGGGAGGGTAGTAGCAGGAGCAAAATTATATGGAAGTATTGAGGATAAAGCGAGTGGGAAGTGGCAGGTGACCTAGCTTTATAGCTTTTTGCAAACCGGATAACCCACTTCTCAGTAACGAATTACATTAGCTGCCGCAACGCCTGGGTTGGGCTCGTCTTGAATCACCGCTTCTCTAATACTTCGTATCCCTACGCCATAGTGCCTTTAGCTCTAGCAGTAAGCAGTACTAGCAAATCCCCTTCTACCAAGTTACGGGTCTTCGAGGCAAATCTCAGGGCCATAAAAATAGAATAATCACCTATATATACGGAAGATACGCGCTGCCATATAAATACTGTGGTACTATACTCCCTGTACTGCGGAGAATGCCCTTACTGTTATATATGTACTTTACTAGGTGGGCTATGCTCGGGTGATTATTGCATCTCGGTCATTGTCGGTTTGCCTAGTCAAAGATGAGAAGCCAGTCTATATTGCCGGTCCTGCGTCTATTGATTGAAGCGAGGAAAGGTTGGTACGAAAATTAGATTAGTACCAAAATACTATTAGTACAAACGCCTAGTTGGTATCATGAGACAATTGGTACCGAGGAATTATTGGTACTATTGAATTACTGGTACAAATAATTTACTAGTATAAAAAAACCACTTGTACCAAGAGGTTAGTAGTACTATCGAATTATTGGTACAAGAAATATATTAGTACCATAATACCACTAGTACTATTAAATTATTAGTATAAAAAATTTGTTAGTACTATAAACCCAGTAGTACTAGGAAGTGATTGGTACAAACAGATAGTTGGTATAAGGAATATGGGCCTTAGGTTTTCGCCTGCATTTACTATCCCTTGCTTAATATAGACATTAGGCGAGTAGTCATAACTATTAGAATAATGCTCCCTGGACCACCTAGATATTCACGCCACCTATAACCTCTCACTATTATAGGGAAGGTAGCCTTGGAGACTTAGGAAAACGCAGCGGTGATTCAAACTTGAAAAGTACGTCTCTCTTATTCTGGGAAAAAATATTCCGCCAATGCGGTATAAACAGACCGTAATGGCACCTGTACGAATACTTATCCTCCGTAGGAACCAAATCTGCTTATACCCGCTACAAAGGCTCTAATATATAGTCAGGCATCGGCAGCGCTATTATTACTATAATTCTCACCGTTTTTGTTATCGCATTCATTTGCATCTTCCCCTACGAATATAGAAAAGGATATCCTCCCTACTTCCCCACTTTCGTACGTTCTTTGTTAATTACTACAAGATCTCATCTCAATGCAGCTTTAACTGTTTCTCTATACCGTGGATTATTATTAATGTCTTGCTACATAGCTAGAGTTTGATAGAGAGTATATAAAGCCCTAAGGGATTATTTGAGAGCTTTCAAGAACGGTAGGGGATTTACGAGAGGGCCTAGGCCTATTTTGAGAGTCCTAAGACTATATATAGAGCTGTAAGAGCGGTAGTAGTAGAAGAGGAGTCTCAAGGATCTCAGAGGGTAAGCGTCTCCGTAGGGGAGTATTAAGGAGGCGTCGTACGTCTATTAGAAAGTGTGAATAGCTTCAATTGCATAGTAACAATTCTGCCGGCAGTATTAAGTAAAGGAGTGCGTGGTTCTAGAAGGTTCTTATCTTTGATTGGCTAGAAACCGTAGCAAAAACCCCTGGTAAAGACCCTGGTCGCCTGCCCTTTAAACTAGGAGGGAGAGAGTAGACGTTGAAAGCGGCGGCTGGCCCGTATACGCACCTTGCCTAATACAGCGGGCGCTAAACCCAGGGGGTCAAACACCGCACTTGAGATTACTTTCTTTAGTAGTTTTATTAAAATATTATTAACTTTAGAAGTCCTATATTTATTATAGTTAAAAATATATTAGATTCCTAATTTATTCTATTTATTTCTGGAAATATTAATATTTATTTCCTTAGCTATACTATTTTTTTTATCTATTATCTCTTAAAGTAATATTCTTTTAGCCTCTTATATAGAATAGCTTTTCTTCTATTCCAGTTTATTTTCAGAAAACCTCTTTAGCTATTTCTATTTCTTTTTTCTTTTTCTTTAATAAAAAACCTATTATAATATTATTTATTAATTTCAGAACGTGAAATATTAGTAATTCTAATATAATTTCTTTTAAAATAAAGTAGCTATTTAGATTCCCTAAATATAACTTGCTTGCTTCTATATATAAATTCCGATTAGCTAATTTCCTTTTCTCTTTCTTGTCTAGTAAACTAGATATTCTCTATTAATTTTTAGATATTTTTGGGTAAAGTATTCAAATTATAATTAAATTCTTTTTTTTGGATTTAGAAAATAATTTAATTAAACTACTAGTATTTATTAGTAAAGAAAAGGAAATATTTTCTTATTTAGGCTTAAATAGCCCTTTATACTATTTTCTATTAAATTAGTAAATATATCTATAATTTATAAGTTTTTTTTATTAATAGATAATAGAATTAAGAAATATAAATATATTCTAGATTAATATTATTATTTTTATTTCTATTATAGTATTTATAGTAAATTTATTCTCTTGATTCTAGGTCTATACTATAGGCTATATTAACTTAAATAATATTCTTTAATTATACTTAAAACTAATTTTTTCTAAAATATAATTATCTAGATTCTTTATTTATTTTAGCTTAATTATTATAGCTACTATAGTATTCTCTATAATCTCTAATATATTTTCCTCGAAGATTCGAATTATATTTACTAGGCTATTAATACTATTATTTCTACTATAATTAGCTAGATTATATAAATAAACTATAGATGTTTTCTCGAATTATAATAATAATTATATTAAGTTATTTCTATAGGTTCTTTTAAATTATAATAATAATAAATAATTTTTCTAGACTTTTTACTAACTAGTTAATATTATTTCTTTTAGGTTTATTACTTTTAGTAGATTTTATATAATTAGCTATAGACTAGATTCTTTTTTTACTTATATTTATAATAGTTTTAGAAAGTATTATAAGAGAAACTAGTAAAAAATTATTATTTTCTGGTTTGAAAACTATATTATAAACTATTATATTCAAATATTCTTATTTAAATCTAGATATATCCGAATTATTAGTAAAATTAAAATAGTATTTCTTCTTTTTATACTAATAGAATATTATTGCCTTTTTATATATCTTACTATATTTATAGATAAAAACGTTTATAGGCTTAAAGTTTATATTTTTAAGAATATAACTTCTTATTAAAACAGATAACTTTCTTATAAATTCTCGGTATTAAATAATTTTATTTATTTCTTTTCTTTTTAGTAACTTTTTTAATACTTTATTAAATATATTAATATAAGACTTAGAAAAGATTTCTTTATTCTAGGCTTATATAATAATCTAATTAAGAAAATTATAGCTAATTTTAAGTATTTTCTAGTTATATTCTCGGAATTTCTTTAATAAGGCCTTAAAGAATTTAATTTTCTAATAATTTCCTGAATTATTAATATAATATTCTAGTATAGCCTTAATCTAATTCTTATAAATAAAAGAGATATAATAAATAATTTTCTTTCTTTTAATATTATTAGAAATATAATAGTTCTTATATATATCTATATATTATTTCAAAAATATAGAAATATTACTTTCTTAAAACTATAATATTTTAGAAACTTCTATAAATAATAGATTTAAATCTAATACTAGTATATATTTATTTTTAGTTATATTAATCTCAATAATTTCTTCTATAATTAATTATAGAGTTTTTATATCCGAGATTTTGACTAATAAGATTTCTAAAAAGCTAATTTCTTATTTAAATATATCTTTTAGTTTAAGAACCGGAATTTGGGAAAAACTAATTAATAATAATAGATATAGTTTAGGTTCGAGTTTTAATATTAGTAATAATAAAATAATAGCTTTTCTAATTTTATTTCTATTACTTGTATTCTTTTTTTATTTTATTAACTTAATACTTATAATATCTTTTTTTAATTTTATTAAACTAAATATATTTAATAATATTATTAAAAATAATAATAAAAATAATAAATATAATTTTACTAATTTTTCCGACTTTTCTAAATTCTCTTTTTTATTTCTATTTAATATTCTTTTTTTCTCTAAAAGCTTTTCTAGATTATTTATATAATTTCTTATATCTAATTTCTTTTAAATTTTTATTTCTAATTACTATTTATTATTTTATTTAAAATTAAGAATATTTTCTCTTTTAAATATCTTTTCCGAATTTAGAAATAAGCTTTTCTATTAAAACTAATACTATTTTTATTCCGGTTTTTATTATAACTAAAGATAATATATAAATTAATAATATAATTTTATTTTCGAATATTAAAATTCATTTCTAATTAAGATCTAACTTATATTATTTTAGTATAATATTTCTTATTTTATTTCCTCTATTTCTTTTCTTTTTATAATTAGCTTCTATTTCTATTACTTTTATATATTATACTAGTAATTATATCTTATAACTAACCCGTATTTAAGTTACTAGATATATTAGAAATTAATATAAAATACTAAGATTAATACTTATATATTTTTAATATTTTGACTTTAGGCTTAAAGTATTATAATAGCCCTTTTCTTTCCAAATTTATTAAATTAATAATTCGCCTTATAAAAATCCCTT